ATGGATTTGTGTCTTTTTTTTCAACATGACTAATGTTGGCCAGGTAATATGTGAATTTCACCCCCTTCTTGAAGAATCAGCCCAAATTAGCTATGTGGATAGCTCTGTCAGCCCCCTTTTGCCCAATATCTTTTGACTGAAGAATTTAAATTGTTGGCTGAACAGCATCTACACTCAATCAGATGCAGCTCCTGTATGGGTAGTCTGACAGCTGCTGGTGGCAGTTGTCAGAAGACGATAAGCCAGCAGGAAGTATTTGTCCTTCTGCACTGTTTGCATGGATGGATGAATCAGATATTTTTCATTCAGCCTGCAAACAATATCTAACAGTGTATCGCCTACTTAACTATACACATTGCTGCTAGTCTTAGGAGATTTGGAGTGAGATTTGGTGATGTCACCCCTCTACTGTTCCCTGTTGTCTTTGCTGGAGAGGAAGCTGTACGTGAGAACTTGCAGTGCAAGGATATCCCTGCTTCTGATTAATTCAATCTTTGGATCAGTGCTTACTTCACCTCTCCTACTACTCCTTGAATATTCACCCGCCAGTCATTGAAGGGATGGATTTGACATATAGAAGTAAAGCCTTCTACTCCACAAAGATGGTCATCTCCACATAAAATTGTGTAGAACAAGGCATGGTAAGGCAATAATAGGGAAAAATCTGCTCCAGAAAGTCTATAGGCAGTACAGTTAGCAGGTCATTTTCCCTCTGCTTTCCTTTTTTGGGCACAGCGTCCTCTTTAAGTGTCTTACCAAAGATGACAACTGCAGTAAACCAGAGAACTCTGCTGGGGTTATGTTCTGTCATACCTTACACTCTAGGCAAACCTCTGAAAAAGCTAAGTAAATCACCCTTTGAAGTTACCACCCGCCATGTCTATAAATTGCTATCATCATATTTACAAAACTTTTTATGTTTTCATCAGTTTTAAACATAACCACCTGCCTACTAGGCAAATTCTGTAATTTCTCTCATATATGTTAAAATCTGCATTTTTTGCTAGAAAAATTATTTAGAACCCCAAAACATTAAATATTCCTCGAAACCAGAGGCACTGGATAATTAAATGGTGGCTGTTGCAATTTTTATGTTGCTTGATGTTTGCACAGCCATTTATCAAACACAACTTTTTATTAGGAAAAAAATACAGTTTAATGACTTTAAGTGCACACAAACACAATATAATACCAAATTGTTTGGTAAAATATAAAAGATGATGTTACACCGAGTAAATAGATACATGAGATATCACACCTCAAAATTGTGCACGCCTGTGGAATGGTGTCAGTGGCACATTAAATTATCCATAGGTGATGCTTTAAAAGCCTTTACAGGTTACCAGGTTAGAGTACACAGGAGGTCTGTCATTAGATATATTGCTCTCACTCTGACGTTCACGTGATACCTCACATGTGTGGTATGATCACAATTTACATATTTACATAAGTCCATCATGAAATTACCTTCCTACTAAATATCTAAATATTCCACGGTCAACTGTTAGTGGTATTATAACAAAGTGTAAGTAACTGGGAACAACATCAACAAAGTGCAAGCAATATATATATATATATATATATATATACTGTATATATATATATATACATACATACATATATATATATATATATATATATATATATATGTAGTATACATATATATATATATATATATATATATATATATATTGCTTCCACTTTGTTGATGTTGTTCTCTGTTGCTTCCACTTTGTTTTATATACATAATATTATTATACAGGATTTATATAAATATAAATATATATATATATATATATATATATATATATATATAAAACCCCTTACCCTCTTTTTTTCCTGCGGCCTTCTTATCAGGCAATGATATTACTAAAGCTGGGAGAGAGTAGGTGGAAATTTAACTTTTTTTTCTAACATGGAGAAAAGCGATTTTTTATAACATTTAAAATAAGTCTACCATAGCTGCAGCCGCAAACGGCGACCCCCCCCCCCTCCCTCTGACAGATAATACAGGGAGAGGTTTCCCCATAATATCTGTCAGATTTGAAAACAGCGCGGCCATGTGGGGCTCCCCATCGTGTCCTTCATTCATGGACTTCCGTGAATGAATGAACTGCAGGTCAAAACAGCCTTAGCGGCTGTGGGCTTGTAGTTTTCAATTAACTACCACATCGCTGTGGAGCACTGTGGTAGTTCATTGAGGCTTCCTGTCAGAATATCTGCTTTATCCTGTACAGCAAGCATATATTCTGACAGGCCTGCAGGCAACCTGCATGGCATCAGGGATCTAGTGATTGCTGGTGCAAGGCTTTCCAGGCTCCTTTGGATAAAAATAACAAATGCACATTTTTTTACCTGCAAATTTTTATTATTTTTGTCCAAAAGGTGAACTTATCCTTTAAAATAGAAAATCACTTTTACAGCCTATATATGTTTGCTCTCACTTTATTACAAAACTGAACAGTACCTTTTAAAAGCATTGGATCACTGAGAAAAAAGCACTGGAACATGCCACCGCTCACCAATTAAAGTAACATTACCTGTATAATAATCGGTGTATAATTGCCAATACACTATCGGTGCAACCACCTTGGATAATCATCTACAGCGTGGCCAGCTACTGACTGAGCAGATTGGTTGGAGATATACAGGAAAACTCAGTTTGCAAAAAAGAAAGAAAGAAAGAAAAATACTACACAAGTGATTTTGCAGTCTAACACTACTGACATTATCTTTCTGTTTCAAATAAATTAGAGCATTCCATGATGAATCAGGCATGATGAAGATCACATGAAAGGCAGGGCTCCATTGTCTTAGAAGGGACTACAAAACTTCACTGGAATCTTCATCATTTGCATTTCAAATCGATTTAAGAATCAAGATAAATTCACATTCAGTCTGTGTAGAATTCTAGCATTTGCTATAGTAAAGAATTGTCAGTACAAATACTGTAGAAGGGAGCTATTGAGCTGGGTTTAAAGATCCTTTAATCCCTCCAGTAAAACCATTGCCTGCTATAGCTGTGTGTCTGTAGCTCTGAAATTACCATGGCCCTGGACTCAAAGTGCTGTAGCATGGTGCCCTCTGCCTGTGTGTGTGGGAACTGCCATTAGATTGTCAGCAATCAAAGATCAAAATGACAGATGACATCTCTTCTACGGAAATAATAAAAATATATTTTGCCATAATGACCGACCAGCAGGACTAGCAGCTGTATTCCCCTTAGGGACCTTATCAATTTTACATTTGAACTATTTACTTATTGATTTTGCCTTATCTTTGGCCTTAAAGTGTATGTAAACCCATACAATAAACGTATTCGCCCTTTTTTTAACGGGTAAATATACCATTAAAAGTGTTTTGCTATATATGTCTGATTAGATCGTAGCTGTTATCCTGCCACAAATCTTGTGAACTGATTATTTCCTGTGTGCAATGCTGACCATGTTATAGAGATAAGAAGGGCAGAGGTGTTCCATAGTCCTAATACACTTCCTGTCCAAGCATGACAACACTGTTCCACCACAAATACAGTACAGTGAGTGGCGCTATCACCCTAAGACAGGAAGTGTATTACTGACAGGATCATCAGATGAAAATGAAAAAAAAAAAAAAAAAACTAATGCAGCCATCACATCTCAGGGCTAAAAAGCTGCAACACATTAAATTTATGTTGTTATTAAGACACGTTATTAACAAATTAATTAAAATCTTAAAAAAATCTCTGTATTCTGCAGCCCTATGGCCAGCTGCACACGGGCATAAGTGCATTATTTATTATTATTGTTTTAATACAGGATTTATATTTACTGATGTTTATATTCTTGTTGACAAAAGATCCTGAGTAAAATGTTCTGTAAAGACCACACATATAATGGAGTCTAAAGGTACATAGGTGTATACAAGCCAGGGGCGGACTGACCATTTGAAAACTCGGGCATAGCCCGAGGGCCCGGGGTCAGTAGGGGGCACAATGAGATGCCCCTGGTACCTTTTTCATAGGCTTTTTTGAGTTTGGGCAAGGACACAGATACCTCATGATCCCCTATTGCCCGGGGGCCCCATGAGTTGTCAGTCCACCCCTGATACAAGCGTAAAATTCTTCTTCATTGTCAGTATTGCAATAAACACATGTATACACACATTAACATACACTATATTGCCAAAAGTATTGGGATGCCTGCCTTTACACGCACATGAACTTTAATGGCATCCCAGTCTTAGTCCGTAGGGTTCAGTATTGAGTTGGCCCGCCCTTTGCAGCTATAACAGCTTCAACTCTTCTGGGAAGGCTGTCCACAAGGTTTAGGAGTGTCTATGGGAATGTTTGACCATTCTTCCAGAAGAGTATTTGTGAGATCAGGTACTGATGTCGGACGAGAAGGCCTGGCTCACAGTCTCCACTCTAATTCATCCCAAAGGTGTTCTATCGGGTTGAGGTCAGGACTCTGCAGGCCAGTCAAGTTCCTCCACCCCAAACTTGCTCATCCATGTCTTTATGGACCTTGCTTTGTGCACTGGTGCGCAATCATGTTGGAACAGGACGGGGCCATTCCCAAACTGTTCCCACAAAGTTGGGAACATGAAATTGTCCAAAAAGTCTTGGTATGCTGACGCCTTAAGAGTTCCCTTCACTGGAACTAAGGGGCCAAGCCCAACCAATGAAAAATAACCCCACACCATAATCCCTCCTCCACCAAACTTTACACTTGGCACAATGCAGTCAGGCAAGTACCGTTCTCCTGGCAACCACCAAACCCAGACACATCCATCAGAGTGCCAGACAGAGTGGTGTGATTCGTCACTCCAGAGAACACGTCTCCACTGCTCTAGAGTCCAGTGGCGGTGTGCTTTACACCGCTGCATCTGACGTTTTGCATTGCACTTGGTGATGTAAGGCTTGGAAGCAGCTGCTTGGCCATGGAAACCCATTCCATGAAGCTCTCTATGGACTGTTGATGTGCTAATCTGAAGGTCACATGAAGTTTGGAGGTCTTTAGCTATTGACTCTGCAGACAGTCGGCGACTTCTGCGCACTGTGCGCTTTAGCATGCGCTGACCCCACTCTGTCATTTTACATGGCCTACCACTTCGTGGCTGAGTTGCTGTTGTACCCAGTTGCTGACACTTTGTTATAATACCACTAACAGTTGACCGTGAAACATTTGGTAGCAAGGAAATTTCACAGATGGACTTATTGCACAAGTGGCAACCTCACGGTACCACACCTGAATCCACTGAGCTCCTGAGGATAACCCATTCTTTCACAAATGTATGTAGAAGCAGCCTGCGTGCCTTTGTGCTTGATTTGATACACCTGTGGCCATGGAGGTGACTGGAATACCTGAATACAATGATTTGGAGGGCTGTCCCAATAGTTTTGGCAATTTATGTGTATATAGCATTAGACCTCACTGCTGTGTACTAATGTAAAAATGTTTGTAGAAGCAGTCTGCATGCCTAGGTGCTTGATTTTATACACCTGTGGCCATGGAGGTGATTGAAACACCTCAATCCAATGATTTGGAGGGCTGGCCCAATACTTTTGGCAATATAGTGTATGTATAGGTGCATACATATGCATATGCACCTAAATTACTACACTCAAATGTAAAGTTTTCTATTTTTCGTCTCTGTATTCACTGCCATTCTACTGATCTTTATGCAGATGTGTGTATGGTTCCATAGACAGCAATGCATCTGTGTCCAGATACAATTGCAAGAAAAAGTATGTGAACCCCTTGGGATTATGTGGAGTTTTGCATGAATTGGGCATAAAATTTGCTCTGAACGTCATCTAAGTCACAACAATAGAAGAACACAGTCTGTTGAACATAATACTACACAAACATTAGATGTTGCCATGGTTTAATTGCACATAACATGTAAACATTCACAGTGCAGGGAGGAAAAAGTATGGGAACCTTTGGACTTAATAACTGGTTGACCCTCCTTTGGCAGCAATAACCTCAACCAAACGTTTCCTGTAGTTGCAGATCAGACCTGCACAACGATCTGGAGTAATTTTGGACCTCTCCTCTTCACAAAACTGTTTCAGTGTAGCAATATTCTTGGGATGTCTGGTGTGAATCGCTCTTTTATGCTCATGCCACAGCATTTTAATCGGGTTGAGGTCAGGACTCTGACTGGGCCACTCCAGAAGGCGTATTCTGTGCTGTTGCAGCCATTGTTTTGTTGAATTACTTGTATGCTTTGGGTAATTGTCCTGTTGCATCACCCATCCTCTGCGGAGCTTCAGTTGGCGGACAGATGGTCGTACGTTTTCCTGCAAAATGTCTTGATAAACTCTGGAATTCATTTTCCCATCAATGACAACAATCTGTCCAGGCCCTGAGGCAGCAAAGCACCCCAGACCATGATGCTCCCTCCACCATGTTTTACAGTGGGGATGAGGTTTTGATGTTGGTGTGCTGTGCCTTTTTTTCTCCACACATAGTGTTGTGTGTTCTTCCCAAACAACTCAATCTTGGTTTCATCTGTCCACAGTATATTTTGCCAGTAGTGCTGTGGAACATCCAGATGCTCGTTTGCAAACTTCAAACGTGCTGCAATATTCTTTTTGGACAGCAATGGCTTCCTCCGTGGTATCCTCCCATGTACTCCATTCTTGTTTAATGTTTTCCTTATTGTAGATGTATCAACAAAAATGTTAGCATGTGCCAGAGATTTCTGTAGGTCTTTAGCTGACATTCTGGGATTCTTCTTTACCTCATGCAGCATTCTGCGCTGTGCTCTTGCAGTCATTTTTACGCCTAGGGAGAGTAGCAACAGTGCTAAACTTTCTCCATTTGTAGACAGTCTGTTTTACTGTGGACACATGAACATCAAGGCTTTTGGAGATACTTTTGTAACCCTTTCCAGCTTCATGCAAGTCAACAATTCTTGATCGTAGGTCTTCTGAGAGCTCTTTTCTGCGAGGCATGGTTCACATCAGACAGTGCTTCTTGAAACCAGTAAACCCAAAACAGGTGTGTGTTTTTTAAGGGCAGGACAGCTGTCAGCAACACATCCAATATCATCACACTGATTGGAGTCAAGGTTGGCTCACTCCTGGCTCCAATTAGCTCTGGGAGAAGCCATTAAGCTAGGGCCTCTCATACTTTTTCCTCCCTGCACTGTGAATGTTTACATGTTATGTGCAATTAAACCATGGCAACATCTAATGTTTGTGTAGTATTATGTTCAGCAGACTGTGTTCTTCTATTGTGACTTAGATGATGTTCAGAGCACATTTTATGCCCAATTCATGCAAAACTCCACGTAATCCCAAGGGGTTCACATACTTTTTCTTGCAACTGTAAGTAAAAAAAATGGTGTTTTTTACACCCGTATGCTAAAGGCCTAAAAAATTAGTATAACTAATTAATAAATTAAATTAAATTAATTTAAATATATTTAATGTTTTTCCTATTAATGTAAAACACTGTCTGAAAACAATCATAAGACTGATTTACACTGAGGCATTTTTCATTCATTTTTACCTTGCAAGAAAAATCCAAGAAAACTGTTTCCTTTTAAATCCTATGGGACTCTGCACACCACTAGGTGCAGTGCATTTTGAAAAGTCCTGTATGCTGCATCCTTGGTGCGGTTTTCAAAACCACACCAAAAACGTAGTAACTCATTGAATTGAATGGAAACCGTACCAAAAGTGCATCAAAATCACATTTTTGGTGTGGTTTTTTTTAGCTACATGCCCATTTTTCATAGATGAAAGCAATCAGAAAATTAACTGGAAATGCACCTAAAATGCAGCAAAAATGTGGCAAAACCGCATATGCGTTTATACCGCAATGCAATGGAGCAGTGTGGAAGCAGCCTTAGAAGTGAAATTGAAAGAATTGAAAATTGAATGAAATATTTTATTAAAATGAACTATTTTCAACACAAATCCTTCCTGTAGTTTCTGTTAGCATTTGTTGTTGCAAATGGAACTAACAGTGTAACTTTGTAGCAGTTATAAAAAGTTACAATGAATAAGTGCCCGGTAATACTGGTGCGATTTCAGGTGCGATTTGCAAATTAAAATCGCAGCTGATATTGCATCTAATGAATGTGAATGTCAGTGTTTTAACATGTGCGATTTGTTGCAGCACAATTTATAAAGTAGTTCTTGCATTACTTTTTCAGCAGCTTATTGTAATTTCACATACATAAAATATAATGCAATTTGCAAGAAATCATTGAAAATCTTCACAAGCAGGGGCAGACTGACCATTTGGAAACTCGGGCACGGCCCGAGGGTCCAGGGTCAGTAGGGGGCCCATGAGATGCCCCTGGTACCTTTTTCATAGGCTTTTTTGAGTTTGGGCAAGGACACAGGGGCCCCATGCTCCCCTATTTCCCGGGGGCCCCATGAGTTGTCAGTCCGCCCCTGTTCACAAATCACAATAAAGTCTTCAGAAATTGCACCTGAAATCAAACTTTCCTATCCTGAACGCGATTCTTCCATGTTCAGGAGAGGGTGGTTTACACCCTGGTCACATCGGGTGTGACTTGGCATGCGATTTGCATGCCATGCAACTTGCAAATCATATGCCAAGTCGCACCCCATTGTTCTCAATGAGAGCGGTCAAATTTGTGCGATTCCGACTTGGTTGGAGCCACACCGATTTCTAAAGTAGTACATGTACTACTTTTGGTGTGATTTGCATAGACATCTGTGTCAGATGTCTTGCAAATCGCACCTGAAATCAGCATCTCACCCAACTTTGAAATTGTGCAACTTCACTGTAATGCAGGCCATAGATGGGTCGAAAATCAGACGATTTTTTGGCCGAAAATAAAATCATCCGATTTTCAGATCGTTAGTGGGTTAATAGGTCGGCCGTTTTTCGGTATTTTGGCAGATCTTTTTTATCGGTAAAGTTTGAAAAAAATCGGCCGATTTTGCCGATTGGCCGATTTTCGCGGCAATGATGGGCATATCGTCTGATCTTTTTACCGATAAAAAATCTGCGCATGAGCAGTGACCTGCAAGAGGAAGACAAAAAGAAGAAGAAGAAGAAGAGGAAGAAGAAGAAGAAGAGGATGAAGAAGAAGAGGATGAAGAAGAATTCCAGTCCGGCAAAAAGTGTCCCTGCAAAGAGCTCCGCTATTTCTTTGACAGTTCTTTGACATTTATAGCAGCTGCAACAATGTATCTATTTGTTTCCAAATAAAAACATCTGTATCCAAAATGGATACAAATAGATACAATGTTGCAGCCGCTATAAATGTCAAAGAACTGTAAAAGAAATAGCGGAGCTCTCTGCAGAGACACTTTTTGCCGGCTGTAGACGGGATGAAAATCGGCCGATTTTTTTTTTACCGTTCCTGGTAACGTCGGCCGATTGAACGACCGATTTTTCGTTTTTTAAAGAAAATCAGCCGGTTTTCTCCCCATCTATGGCCTGCATAAGTCACACAATTTCAAAGTCGAGTTTGATGTGACCAAGGGCTTAACCTCACCTAAACGCGACAGCTTTTAAACTCTGCTACAAGCCTGTGTGTACATGGACACATAGGCTTTTATGGAGTTGAATTTAGGGGCAAAAAAAATGCCAAAAGCTTCTAAACTCAAATTTAGCAGCTGCTCGTTTACATGAAGCTTAAGAAAAGTTCCTTGTTAGTGTTTACATACATTTTACACTTTGAATCAAGTCTCCAGAATATCTATATATTGTGGAAGGACCAAAAGCAGATAAAGGGGAACCCCAGAATAACTATTTTGCTGGCTATATTGAAGTATTCCTGCTGAGTAAAGCTGAGCGAGCAAAATCTCGTCATGTATGGTAAGTATTAATAGGGGAAAGGTGAGAACCTTGTTTGAATTTTTTTATTACTGTCTGTGCCTCAGATTGATAGATTTGCATTCATTTTCTGTCCCTATAATTACTGTAATTGGAACAAGAAATGAAGGGCGATCTTTTAATGGGAACACCGCAAAGGCGGTTTAAAAAAAAAAAAAACAAATCTTTGGCAAGAGCTAAACTTCAATGTCCTGAAAGACAAGATCCGTCCTGGGATTCATGTGTTCAAGTGCATAAACTATAGATCTAAAACTTATATACTGTGAAGTAATACATCATAAATTAAAGAATATGCTACATCAACATTTCATATTCCTGGGTGTGTGCCTGCTGTACTATGTACTTGTGTTAAAAAGTATCTAAAAAGTATCCTGTTTTCTTTGTATTGCTTCCTTTGTGTGAAATCCTTGGTGTTCTTACCAGTCTTTCTGCTTTCTTATTTCAAACTGGCCACACTAGGCATAGAAGCATATCCTTCCAAGCATGGTCAAGACACTCTCCCCCTGCAAAAAGAAAAAAAAACATATTTATGATATATATATATATATATATATATATATATATACTGTATATACCGAAAACAGTGCCTTGAAAAAGTATTCATACCTCTTGAAATTTTTCACATTTTGTCATGTTACAACCAAAAACTTAAGGTATTTTATTGGTATTTTGTGTGATAGACCAACACAAAGTGGCACATAATTGTGAAGTGGAAGGAAAATGATAAATGGTTTGCACATTTTTATTTCAAATAAATATCTGAAAA